GTTTCAAACTATATTTCAAACATAAGCGCCCAAGCTGCTTTTTAGCATAGTATCCAAGGACTAAATAAATAAATCCTATCTCCTAGAACTGGAAGGGACCTTGAGGTTATTGAGTCTAGCCCTCTGCCTTCACTAGCAGGACCAAGTACTGATTTTGCCCCAGATCCCTAAGTGGCCCCCTCAAGGATTGAACTCACAACCCTGGGTTTAGCAGGCCAATGCTCAAACCACTGTGCTATCCCTGTACCCCAACTAACTGGCTCACAGTCTCCTTTCCTTGTTGTATGTCCCTTAATCCAAAATAAACAAAAGAAAATAATAAGCCATTTGATTGTACTTTGCTCCTTCACTTTTTTATCTCTTAATGTCTATTTATCAAATGTTTCACAGGTGAGCCTCAGTTCACTGAGATGAGGTGCAGCTGCTGTACTGACTACACCACTGTGACTTTTGGGGATTACCCATGCAAGTAAGGGGTTCTGTCACCACCCACCCTCTAAACTTGGGGTGCCTTAATACTATGCTGCTGTGATTCAGACCTCTGACACCAGTAGCATGCTCATAAGCACAAGGTCTCCCACTAGCTTTCATCAGCCTTGTTACTCCTTGGAAGAGTTACAACCAACAGTTCTTCCAGTCCCACATCTCCCCAAATCTACCTACCCAGATTCTTAATTACCAGACAACTCTGACTGTTCCCCTCAGGTTAGTCACCCTGGAAGGTGTGAAATCAGCCTCTCCATCCCACCCCCTCAGTTATCAGTTCACTTTGGGGCACACACTCCACACAGTTTACACACCAGAGACCCACTTGGGGTAAACACAAAGAAGACGTTTATTTAATAGAAAAACCATGTATTAAAAGATTAAATAGTAAGGGAGGGCAAACATATACAAGTTACACAGAAAATAAACAAAGACCCAATCCCAGGCTTGACACTTCTATCTTAGATAAATTCTAGAGCTATCAAGCGATTAAAAAAATTAATCGCGATTTAATCGTGGTGTTAAACAATAATAAAATACCATTTAAATATTTTTGGATGTTTTCTACATTTTCAAATATATTGATTTCAATTACAACACAAAATAAAAGTGTACAGTGCTCACTTTAAATTTATTTTTGATTACAAGTATTTGCACTGTAAAAAAACAAAAGAAATAATATTTTTCAATTTACCTAATACAAGTACTGTAGTGCAATCTCTTTATCATGAAAGTTGAACTTACAAATGTAGAATTATCTACAAAAAGAACTGCATTCAAAAATAAAACACTGTAAAATTTTAGAGCCTGCAAGTCCACTCAGTCCTACTTCTTATTCAGCCAATCGCTAAGACAAACAAATTGTTTAAATATGCAGAAGATAATGCTGCCCGCTTCTTGTTTACAATGTCACCTGAAAGTGAGAACAGGTGTTCGCATGGCACTGTTATAGCCGGCAGTCGCAAGATATTTACGTGCTAGATGCACTAAAGATTCATATGTCCCTTCATGCTTCAAACACTATTCCAGCAGACATGCGTCCATGCTGATGACTGGTTTTGCTCAACAACAATCCAAAGAAGTGCAGACTGAGACATGTTCATTTTCATCATCTAAGTCAGATCCCACCAGCAGAAGGCTGATTTTCTTTTTTGGTGGTTCGGATTCTGTAGTTTCTGCATCGGAGTTTTGCTCTTTTAAGACTTCTGAAAACATGCTCCACACCTTGTCCCTCTCAGATTTTGGAAGACACTTCAGATTCTTAAATGTTGAGTCGGTGAGAAATCTCACATTGATACCTTTTCTGCGTTTTGTGAAATCTACAGTGAAAGTGTTAAAACGAACACGTGCTGGGTCATCATCTGGAACTGCTATAACATGAAATATATGGCAGAATGTGGGTAAAACAGAGCAGGGGACATACAATTCTTCTCCAAAGAGTTCAGTCACAAATTTAATTAACACATTTTTTTAACAAGCATCATCAGCATGGCAGCATGTCCTCTGGAGTGGTGGCCTAAGTATGAAGGGCAATACGATTGTTTAGCACAGGGGTCGGCAATTTTCGGCTCGCCGCCCCCATTGGCCCGGGACAGCGAACCGCGGCCAGTGGGGGCCGTGATCGGCCGAACCTGCCGCGTCAGCAGGTAAATAAAACTGGCCTGGCCCGCCAGGGTGCTTACCCTGGCGAGCCGTGTGCCGAACGTTGCCGACCCCTGGTTTAGCATATCTGGCACGTAAAGTAAATACCTTGCAATGTCAGCTACAAAAGTGCAATGCAAATGCCTGGTCTCACTTTCTAGTGACATTGTAAATAAGAAGAGGGCAGCGTTATCTCCCAGGGGAAGGAATAGCTAGTGGTTTGAGCATTGGCCTGCTAAACCCAGGGTTGTGAGTTCAATCTTTGAGGGGGCCACTTAGGGATCTGGGGCAAAAATCAGAACTTGGTCCTGCTAGTGAAGGCAGGGGGCTGGACTCAATGACCTTTTGGGGTCCCTTCCAGTTCTATGAGATAGGTATATCTCCATATATTATTATTATTATTATTTATCTGTAAATGTAAACAAACTTGTTTGTTTTAGCAATTGGCTGAACAAGAAGTAGGACTTAGTGGACTTGTATGGTCTGAAGTTTTACACAGTTTTGTTTTTGAATGCAATTATGTAACAAAAAAAAATCTACATTTGTAAGTTGCACTTTCACAACAAAGAGATTGCACTACAGTTCTTGTATGAGGTTAATTGAAAAATACCATTACTTTTGTTTATCATTTTTATAGTGCAAATATTTGTAATAAAAAATAATATACACATTGATTTCAATTACAAAACAGAATACAATGTATATGAAACTGTAGAAAAGACATCCAAAATATTTAATAAATTTCAATTGGTATTCTATTGTTTAACAGTGCAATTAAAACTGTGATTAATCGCAATTAATATTTTGAGTTAATTGTGAGAGTTAACTGAGATTAATCGACAGCCTTAAAAGATTCCTTTTTCTAATCCAAGTTACCTATTGCTTTTGAACAGTTCCCCAGCATACCCCCCCCCAAAATTCCCCCCCGCACACCTAAATTTAGCAGGGATGCAGCATTTCACAGGGCTTTCTGCCAAAAGGTGTCCCTCAGTTTCCAGATTTCTTTCACTTCAAACCCCTTCCACTTTAACAGGGTTTGAAGTTTATTTGTTTCTTCAGTAACTATAGATATTCAGAGTGGGGAAATCCCCAGTTGTCTCACTGTCTTTCCATTAACGTTAATGGCCCATCCTTGTGTCTTTCTGGGTTCTGTAATGGATTGTTACTTGGGAGGTGCCTCTCCCTGTCTGATCGCTCTGTCCTGCTGCAAGGTAGAGCCAAAGTTTTATGAACATCCCTCTCTATATATACAAGTACATACTGGTAATCCATAACAATAATCTGTACATCTCACAATGATTATTAAGTTTAGAACATTATGAGTTTTCAAAAAAGTCCTTACTTGACATGTTTTTATAGTACAATATCACTGTATATAGTTAATTGGATTCTTTGGGGTTCAAACACACTGTTGTCCCCTTGGGATATCTGGTCCCTGATTGTCAGAATCCCCAGTGTGTGTCGTGCAGCCGCCATCAAGTATTGTTGGGTAACATTTTCAAAGCGCCCAAGTGACAGGCTCCTGAGGGTAAGACTTCAAAAAGTGCTCATGTGCCTAACAACCTTAAACAATAGTCCCAGGAGTTCATTTTACTACTCTCTCTTCTCCCCCCACTCCCAAATGTCATTTGGAAGAGACTGTTTGGGCATCCAGGGTTAATCTACAGATCTGGGAGCCGTTCAACCCTTGGCCTCTCTATTGACAATGCCATGATTATCTGGCATTAATTGGAACTTGGGAGTTTCTATGCCAAGGACACAGAGTCGTAAGGAACTAGATTGAGATCTTCAATCCACTCCATGCCTTTAGTACAACAGCTACTTTTGTTCACAACCTGGGTCACATTTAAACTTCTAAACAACATCCCCTCCCTCCCCCCATGACTAATCACCACCTACAGGAGATTTTTAGGAAAAGATTTAGTTTTCCTAGTTTGCAGGAGAGTTAAAAATGCAGCCCTCTCCTTCCACTTGAGATCACTAGCTAGCTACAGATCTCTGGCAAAACCAAAATTTGTCCCACTCCACCCATGGAAAAATGGAGCAGTTCCTTGGTGCATCCATTGCCAGAAATGTCTGTGGCACTGGGAAGTTTGAATTTAGTCCCTTCTCTGCAGAAATCACTCTAGTGTGTGCACGCCTGTCAGCCAAGTGCATGCCACAAAGTCTACTTTTAATTAAACCCAGATTGCATGACCCTAGTTTCAGGAGAAGACTAAGGCCAGACTAGCAAAGGCCCCAATCTCCAGAGGCACTGTCCTGCTCTCACCAGCTGACCTATAAAGCTCCCAGATCAGGAATGGATTCACTGATCTGTCCTTATTAAATGACATGGAAAAGGTCATGGAAAAAGACGGATGGAGAAAAAAAAGACAAAGTACAACAAGCAAATTGTTTCCATCCATTCATCTAGGAATGGGTGAGAGCCAGGATGACACTCTGGGAGCACTTCCCCATCATCCAGTGCATTTGACAGTATCAAAACCATTAAGATATTTTTGCCTTTATGGAGTCAAAAACCCATCCCTCAAAAAACTACCATCTTTATCAACTCACCAAGACAGCAGTTTTCTCCTTTGTGGGGATTGGGAGGGTGGGAAGGGAGACAAGAAAGATGACAAACAAAATCCTCTGGAGGTGATAATTCCTTTAAAGAGTATTTTAGGTGAACAAGACAGCTTGATCATTCTTACAGGTCACTTTTAGGGCTTGGCAAACACAGCACTGGATAGGAAACAATCAGGGACCAACAGAGTAGTTTGCTCCATGGTCTAAATGAAGATTATCCAGCACATAAAACACACCCTAACACCCCCACACAGCCTCCAAAGGAAGCCAGAGTCACAGCCAGAGAAGCTGTGCTGGGTACTTACTTTCCCAGAGCCAGTTTTCCCATCCACTGTCTCCAGGATACCCGTCTCCCCCAATACAGCAATCCTTAGATGGATCAAAGTTTTTAAAAGGGCAATTTCACATAATGCTGACAAGCAGAACCCAGATCCATTATCTCTACCCTGTGACTAATTATTAACTAGTGCTCAGATTTAACTAATACCTTTTCCTACTCTCAGCGCTTTTACTGCTGTCCTAGTCCTTTTGTTGCCAAACCCCCAGCCTATTCCAACTCAGGTCCATTTAGTCCCAGTAACCTCAGAGAGAGTGAGTCACTCTTGGCATATTTTGGGGGTGCGTGGATCATGGTAGGGGCTGGAGGCAGGAAGGATTCAGCACCTTTCCATCCTGAGTCAAATAATCTCTCCCCCAAAACACTGATGTTTTCAATTAACAAAGCCAAAGACTTTTGTACTCTGTAAGACACGTAGTTATAACTGGCCCGGAAACAGTTCCAGGGAGGCAGCCTGCTGCAAGTCTAGCTAGCCGCATGAGAGCAGAATGTACATGGACAATGAGGTGGGCTGGGTCACTGGAGTGAGGCTTCCCTTTCCCCATGAGGTGTCTATCACCTCTCTTACAGGTGCATACTATGTTTCCAGGAGCAGCACAGTTCATACTTTCTTCCTAGCTGGCAGAACAAGGACATAGAATCATAGAATATCAGGGTTGGAAGGGACCTCAGGAGGTAATCTAGTCCAACCCCCTGCTCAAAGCAGGACCAATTCCCAACTAAATCATCATTATACTGACATTATAGTTCAAGCTTTTAAAATACAATAGGGGGCCGAGGCAAAGCAGGGGTCTGACCTGTGGGGTGACCGGAGAGGAATGGTCACAACCTAGGGACTCCATTTTCCCCTCCATTTGTAGATGTAGTTGGCACTGAGGCAGGGAGCACAGAAGAGAGGGAGTAGGCAGCACATATGCAGCATGCTCCCATGCCCAAGTGCCCCTTTGTGCAGCATGGTCTCCCAGCAGGTTTCCAACTGGAAACCTTGTGGGACATAATGATGCTTCTTGCACTGTGAACTCCCCACCTGTGGGGAGTAGTGCTAGCACACAGCTGCAGAGGGACCCTGGCTGATGTGGGGGACTCTTAGAAAGCAGAGTGGAGGGGAAGACTATTCCTAGCTACTGTTGGGGATCCATGCAGTTGGATTCTACTTTCCACAACATCTGTGGAGTTCACATTCTGCAGCTCCTTCCTGCTGCCACAACCCCCTCTCCTTGGAAGGGAAGCTCCAGATTCTACTTGATGACAAGTTTTTGGCGTGGGATTTCCCACACCATGGGTTTCTTCCACAAGAGGGAGCATTGAGGCAAGATCTGGTTTTCACACACATGATACACTCATACACGATCCTCTCCTACCCCATCTATATTACAAGCCCTGGAATACAGTAGATTTCCAGCCATTATAAGAATTCACTTTAAGCTTTTGAAGATCAACAAGCTCCAGCTAGGCCAATGACAAAACTGATTCAATACTAACCTCTAGACTTGCAAGGGGAAAAACTGCCCCCAAAGCAAATATAAGATGCACAAACAAGATGGAAGGTGGGCTGAGAGATCTTTTAGTATCACTAGCTTGGGAAACTCTGCATAACTCACTTATCAGTGCTGTGAGCACCTGAACACATGACAGAGACAGTAAGCCACACCCATATGATCACGTGTTTTTATAACGCTTTTATTGCCATGAGTTTAGGATAACAGCATAACTCACTCATGGCTCTCCCACTTGTGAGTACTGATGGCTTTTGCAAACAGCAGCTACAGACTTTATAGCTCCCTCACTTCCCCTTGTGTGGAATAAATGTGGAACAGAGGTGGCTCTGAACACTCGTTACAAACATGTCAAAGGGAATTTGAAGGGTATTTGCTTTGGATGTTTCACAAAGTCAGTCAAATCTCATTGGGTATGGAAAAAGGTGTGTTAACAGACTTCATTTGCAAACTTCTTGAAATTCTTCAGCTATTCTTCTCCATGCATCTGAAGAAGTGGGTTTTTTACCCATGAAAGCTTATGCCCAAATAAATCTGTTAGCCTTTAAGGTGCCACCGGACTCCTCGTTGTTTTTGTGGGTACAGACTAACACAGCTACCCCTCTGATACTCAGCTAGGCTGGTCTCTGTAAAGATGCCAAGGTCCAAGCAGCAATGCAGCTGCTGCCAGCTTGAGAACAGAGCACTTAGAGCAATTCCCTGCACACTGATACCCTATGGAGACATGGTGCTCCACTCCAAATCCCTTCAGAGCACGCTGCTCTCTGACCTTCCTAGCCAGAGACTGATGTAGGCTGGCAGCTGCAAGGGAGGTAAGGAGGGGTACTTGGAGGGGAAAAGTACTATGCTCTGGAACATAAATGCTCTTGTCCTGGGGACTGAGGTTCCAGCCCTGATCAATGGCAAGGGTGAGGTCTGCAGATGGAGCAGCTGACCTTCCAAAAGGGATCAAGCGTTAAGCTCACTATGCAATTACCATGATTAAAGCACACACCTAGAGATGCTTTATTGTCTGTACTATAACTGCAGAACAGTTCAAACTTCTGCTGCAGTCTCCTCACATAAAACATGCAGTCTCTTTGGAAACAAAACAGAACTCTGATCCCAAGTTCTGAATCATAGAAGATTAGGGTTGGAATAGACCTCAGGAAGTCACCTAGTTCAACCCTCTGCTCAAAGCAGGACCAACACCAACTAAATCATCTCAGCCAGGGCTCCGTCAAGCCGGGCCTTAAAAACCTCTAAGGATGGAGATTCCACCACCTCCCTAGGAAACCCATTCCAGTGCTTCACCACCCTCCTAGTGAAATAGTGTTTCCTAATATCCAACCTAGACCTACCCCACTGCAACTTGAGACTATTGCATCTTGTTCTGTCATCTGCCACCACTGAGAACAGCCTAGCTCCACCCTCTTGGAACCCCCCTTCAGGTAGTTGAAGGCTGCTATCAAATCCCCCATCACTCGTCTCTTCTGCAGACTAAACAAGTTCCCTCAGTCTTTCCTAATAAATCATGTGCCCCAGCCCCCTAGTCATTTTCACTGCCCTCTGCTGGACTCTCTTCAATTTGTCCTCATCCTTTCTGTAGTGGGGGCCCCCAAAACTGGATGCAGTACTCCAGATGTGGCCTCACCAGTGCAGAATAGAGGGGAATAATCACTTCCCTCGATCTGTGGCAATGCTTCTACTAATAAAGCACAATAGGCCGTTAGCCTTCTTGGCAACAAGGGCACACTGCTGACTCATATCCAGCTACTCATCCACTGTAATCCCCAGGTCCTTTTCTGCAGAACTGCTGCTTAGCCAGTCAGTCCCCCGCCTGTAGCGGTGCATGGGATTCTTCCATCCTAAGTGCACGACTCTGCGCTTGTCCTTGGTGAACCTCATCAGATTTCTTTTGGCCCAATCCTCCAGTTTGTCTAGGTCCTATCCTATCCCTATCCCTTCCAGCGAATCTATCTCTCCCACCAGTTTAGTATAATTTGCGAAGTTGCTGAGGGTGCATTAATAAGATATTGAACACACAATCCCCAGCTGAGACATCAGGAGACAACTGACAAGATTTCCCCAGAATGCACTGATACAAGACAAAAAGAACAGGAGTACTTGTGGCACCTTAGAGACTAACAAATTTATTTCAGCATAAGCTTTCGTGGGCTACAGTTCACTTCTTCAGATGCATAGAGTGAAACACACAGACAGAAGATTGTAGATTGTATGTAGATTGTAATGGATTTTTTACCTTTAGTCCTTTTGGTATGATATCCATTTGTTTGCATTTGGAAAGGAAGATGATGTCTGTCTGTATCGATACGAGTTTTTTCATGAAGTTGATGGATTTCCACTCCATACGGCTAAATGCAGTGCCTTGCATAATGACAGATTTCAAAGTAACAGCCGTGTTAGTCTGTATCCGCAAAAAGAACAGGAGTACTGGATGTCTCAGCTGGGGATTGTGTGTGTGTCCTCTATTAACTGAGCCACCCCAGCTGCACAGTTAGTAGCCACAACTACTAGCAAAGTTTAAATGTTGTGTGGACAGAAACAGTGCTTAAAGCCAGCCAGGTGACTAGCTGATTGCAAACTCAGTTAAAAATTGCAGAGTAGAGAGGGCTAAAGAGGAATTGTACTAAGGAAGCTTCACAGTATTGTATAAACCTGACTGCATGTTTGTGTTTGGGATAACTATCTGTCCTTTACTGAAAGATATTAGCAAATATAGAGGAAACTCAGAGCCAGTGTTCCCATCAGGTAAATAGTCTCACTCCTACTTTGTTGGCAGTGAGCAGATGGCTGTTTGTCAGGAGTTCAAGCCAATGTGTAGTGATGATAAGGACTGTTGGTAGTGCTCTGTTCCGGTGACAGGGTGAGATGCCACTTTTTTATATTTGGTGAGCCCTCCCCTACTGCATATCAGAATAAGGGTGGGAATAGGATAGCGAGCTGCTGCACAGTACTTCCAGGGCTGGAGCAGCAAATCAGGGAGTTAATTGCACTTTATTATGCCAGTCTGATTTTCTTATTCTTTAATTCCTACTGAGCTTGCGATTACTGGGTCAGAAAGATTTTACGGTGAGACTTGTCTACTATAGCAGTATATTGATCTTCTTAAACCAGTAGTAAATTGTAACTTTTCTTTAGAGCGTGGTCTATGGGTATGTTTACGTTGCAATTAGGCATTCCTGGCTAGCCCATGCTGGCTGATTCAGGGCTCGGTTTAATGGGATGTTTAATTTAATCCTAGGGTAATTCTGTATCACTGTGCACATGCAGAATTCATGTTCCCTGCAGAATTCCCCTTCCCCTCCCGCCCCCCCCAAATAGATTCTACCAGCAAGATAGATTACACCTTTTGCCCACCAGGGGCTGCTGTGGTACCAGAACAGAGGGTTGACAGCCATGGATAGGGAGGTGGCAGTGATTGCATTCTTCACAGCACCCTGCCTGCATGGGATATGGGGGGATAGCGTGGAGCACATGGGGCTGCTGGGGAATCACACAGACTGGAGTTCAGAAGGGCTAGTGGAGGGTGGGACAGACTGGGGTGGGGGCACAGGAGCTAGTGGGGTGATAGTATTGAGCCAGGGACTGAATGGGAATGGTGGTGCAGGGTCGCATAGGG